TCGATCCGCGACCATGCGCCACAAATGGACTCAACATTTACAACACGAATGTGGTGTTCGATCGCGAGGGGCGTGTCATATCACGCTATCGCAAGGTGAATATCTATGTGGAGCAAAAAAATACCACTTATCAGCCAGAGTACGCTATATTCGATACGGATTTCGGTGTGCGATTTGCGCAATTCATCTGCTTCGATTTACTCTTCTACACGCCAGCCGAGGAGCTGGTGGTTAAGTATGGCATTAAGAATGTCATATTCACTGCGAGTTTCATCTCCGAGACGCCTTTTCTAACCGGTGAGCACTTGAGTCTCAACTGACGTACTAGCTCAGTTACAAATCTGTTTTGTTTTTTTTTGTATTCCCTTAGCCGTGCAGCTGCAACAATCCTGGGCTTGGGGCAACAATGTAACGGTACTTGCTGCTGGCTCTAGTTATCCGCTCTCTGGTGCTACAGGCTCTGGCATTTATGCGGGTAGCAGTGGCAGCTTGACAGCAACAATGGTCGGCAATGTGGGTGTGCGCCAACTGCTGGTAGCAAAAGTGCCCAAAAACGAGCAAACTGGTAGTCGCCTAGAAGCTGTGAATACGAGGCAAATCGCTGCTGCATCAACAGCGCCCCTAACCGGCCTAAGATTACTGCGTGATCCACAACTGGACAATTTCCATTCACAGCTGCTTAACTTAACCGCCTCGTCTGTGATCGCATTGCAGCAGTGCGCCGAAGATCTCTGCTGTACGCTGACAGCAGAGACTACAGCAAGTCAAAGCTCTTATGGCAATGGCAGCGCGGCTGGTGCTTATCAATACCGCTTTGGCGTCTTCACTGGTCAACGCTCTTACGAGAAGGAGCAATACAGCGCTGTAGCCATTTGTGGAATGTACGCCTGTACCGATGACACCGTTGCCAGTTGTGGTCTTTTATTCTCTGCAAATACAACAATACAGCCAGCGTTCGCTTTCAAACGCCTAAATATTGCGGGTAGCTTTAAGAAGGCCGAACGCTTACTGTTAATGCCGAACACTTTGAACTTGAACTTTTACTCGCTACAACCAGCGCAGGTAGCGTGGGAGGTTACCGATAAAAGGTGAGTTCTATGCTGCCGAATTTAAGTGTCATGCTTTTTACATTTGTTCTTTTATTTTAAATTTTCAGTAAATCCTACGAGACTTCAATTGATTTAAAAGCTTCCACAGACAATCTGTTAACTTTTGGCATCTATGCAAACTACTATGACAGCTCGGTGGCATCGGGATTGACTGGCTCCATGTTGGTCCTGTTATCATGCTTACTGCTTTGGACTGGCACCTTTGCAATTGATTTTTTACATATAAGATTCACTGACTGCTGATTTTTCGTAGAATTAATTTAGCGGAATTAACGTATGTCGGCGCATTTAATTGCAAATAAATTTCTGATATGGTTTGGAGTAAATATGTATCTACATGGGAACTTTTCGAAAACCAAATGATGTGAATTAAAAAAAAAATTTAATTAAAATAATTAAAAGTAAAATAAGCTCAAAAATTTTGAAAATATCGAAATTTTTCTTAAAAAAAATTGCCAATTCGTTAGGCGATTCAGTTACATACATACGTAGGATAATTTAGAAATTAAACATAAAATTTCATTTCATTTTGTGCATTTTTTCGGAACCAGTACACGACTTAACCACTTCGGTAATAGATCATGACCATTTCAGGATTATTTCGTGACTAGTCTTTCCTAAAATGGTTCTGAAAAAGTCGTTACCGAGAATATGTCAAAAGTCCTGAAACGGTCCCGAAATAGTCCCTTATCGTTCCCAAAATGATACCGACCTGGTACCAAAATGGTGCTAAAATAGTCACCAACTAGTTCTGAAATGTTGCCGAACTAGACTCGAGATGATTAAGAACAAGTCCCAAAATGGTCTTCAACCAGTTCCTAAATTATCCCGCACAAGTCCCGAAATGGTTCTAAAATAGCCCTAAACAGGTATCGAAACCGTCCTGAAATGATCCCGACCTAGTCCTAAAATGGTTCTGAAACAGCACTGATCTAGGGGCTTAACTACGAGCGCGGCCCCCGTTACGATAGAAAAAACTTTCTAGGCGGAATTTTTGCTCCAACAGTCGGAAAATTCAGCCTCTACGACGAACTTCCGATAACGGAATGAGGCTGATTGACTTCGCCTGGGCCCGAAGCATGATAGTATGCAGCATCAGACTGGAGTCTGACCTGCCTTTTGGTAGTGTTAACGAAAACCATGTAGATAATGATGACCCATTTGCCCCAATCGATGACGACGGAAGCGATATTCGGTTACATAATCATGACTGCGCAGCTAAAAGAAACTGCCAAAGCCGATGGTTGGTGAGAGTCATGCAACAACTTTATTGCATATTAAAATTAAAGTGTGTTCAGCCAATCCACATGAAAAGATTACTGCATCCGCAAACTACCGCGGGCTCAGTACGGACAATTGGGACTACAGTCTTTGACACCAAAAATTCTTTAACGACCTGTCAAACACAAGATGGACTGAGGAGCCCACGATAAGTATAGCAAAGCATATTTAACCTGAGTTAGATAAACGAAGACTACGCCCTCTCCTCGGCTTTGAGCATCCACTGCTCCGACATGTAATTGGAATTCTCACCGGGCACGGCCTGATGGGAATCCATGCCTATAGAATGGTTTTGCAGTCAAACTACTGTCGTAGCTGCCGTGATGTGAAAGTAAGCGTAGAGAATTTCCTATGCCAATGTGCAGCATTGTCGAGGGCTCAACGGCGCACGCTCCTCCACTACTTTTTTGAATGTTTGGCTGAACTGTCTACGGCTTTGTGCGCTTCATGAGAGCGACAAAGTGGTTTCACTTCTAAGGTAAAAGAAGGGACCTAATGACTGTCTAATATGGCATTACAATGGGCGCATGATGGCCTCAGTTACAGTGCTGAAGAGGACCGCCAAGATAAGCTAACCTAACCTATGGGTCAACGATCAGCAATTTAGTGCAGAAGTTCGAATAAACTGGGTCGGTGTAAAACGTGGGTCTTCGTAACGCTGTTACGGTGAACGTTGTCGGAACATGATAACACTTTGTGACGACGATATGTGGTTCCGACAGAACGGTTCTACTTGCCACACATCGCATGAAACAGTGGCCTTATTGCGAACGAGGTTTCCAGAACGCATTATCCCACGAAACAATGAGATCAAATGGTCGCTGAGATCTTGTGATTTGACACAATAGGGCTTCTTGAGCTACGTGAAAAGTATGGTCCATTCCAATAAACTCGAGATGTTTCCATCTCGATATACAGCTCGAACTGTGACAAAAGGTCATGGAAATTTTTGATATGCGCATCCGTGTTGACAGAAGAGTTGCGGGTGGAATTCAACGCCATAGAAAAATATTTCAACCAATAGTGTTTTTTTCATCCTGTATATTCGCTTAGAAGAATCAGGAAGAGAAAGCAGTTCCATGGTAGAACTTTGAACTTATAAAGCTTCGTAAAAGTTCCAGTAGACTTCTGAATAGGACGTTTCAACATGAAAAGAATAGGACTGGTCCGAATATCATACCTGCATTAATATTGATAACATGAAAGAGTTTTTCAGGTTATGAAAGGTACATATTGCAAAACGACCTTACAGACAGGCTTATCTATCTCAGAAAATCGAATAGAACTTATCACATTCAACGTGGTACCCGCTGGCAGAAGCAGGGGAAGAAGAAGACCTCCTCTGCAATGGGAAGTCCAGTAGAGAAGTACTCGACTTCACTTGGCTGGCACTGTAATGAAACAACTTGCGTGCTTTATTGAATTCAGACGAAATCATTTAGGCGACTACCGGGTCTATTATGATAAAAAGAAAGTTACCGCCAGAAAATTGTGAATTTGGGCATATTTTACTATCCACCTAAGCATACATTAGGACAGGTCAATTTGTATGGGAGATTTTTTCCACTATGCGCGTGTAGCACAGAAGCATTCTACGTGTAATTCCGAAGAAACCATGGGTCGAAAATCAATTTGGAGTTTGCCAAATTCCGAAAATAGGTTTCTTAGCATTCTGTTGTAATGTCGTAAAGTACTTAAATTTTTTATATAAACATGCAAAAAGGGGTTTTTTGGTATAAGGAATTCATTTCTGCATTCGTCGTTTTCTTAAAACTACCACCAGAGGGCGCTACAGTGAAAATTTTCACATTTTCTTCGACACTTGTTTTCGCTATTTCCAAATTGATTTTAGACACATGGTTTCTTCGGCAAATTTGCTTAGAATTACACGTACATAGAATCGCCCTATGATAAATGCGCATAGTCAAAAAAAAATTGACCCGCCCTAACCCACTACAAAAATTGTGTTTGCATGCATTCCAAGTAAACCCATTTCATCCAAAAATAATTAAATGGCACTCTGTACACGACAACACTTGTAGAGCATTCACCAAGTACAAAACTTTTCTTCGGGATACGCATCATTGTGCCTAATTGCCGATCATCGGACTTGAATTTTGTTCACTTACAAGGTTTTTCTTTTTATTGTAAATTTATTTTATTTTTTCCGTTGCAATTACATGTCAAGGTTATTGCCACTGTTGCCTAAGAGTTTTGGAGATTTCGAAATTAACATCGAAGCAATGTGTAGGTCAAAGTTATGTTTCAACAAATCAAATACGCATGACTAAATTCGAACGGAAAGCTATGAAAAGAAGATAACCATTTAAGCGCATAGTATAAATATAAGTCAACTAAATTTTTTTGAGAATGTTTAGTGCAAATCGGTGTGTAAACACGTATACGTTAAATGCGCTGGCGTTACCAACTAACAACTAAAAAATTAACGTTTTGCTTAATAAAAAGTGTTCACTTAAAAAAATGGCATTCTTCAAATACAAATATTTCAAACTCAACTCCACAAATTTTCCTTACGCGCATCTAGCGGACAAGCGCACGCAACATTGGCTGCTGGTCGAGTCTTACGGCGATGTAGTGGCGCTTGTGACAATGTATCTGTTGCTGGTGCGCTATCTGCCAAAATGGATGCAAAGGTGTTGCGTTCAAACTCGTTGCAAAATACTCTTATGTAAAATGCGTGTGAATACTAAAACTGTCGCAATTTTATAACTTTTACAGACGTAAACCCTTCCAAATGAAACCTTTGATGTTGCTCTATAATTTTTTGATGGCTTTACTGAATGCGCACATCTGCAAGGAGCTTCTATTCAATGGCATACGCTCCAAGTATAATTTCTGGTGTCAGTCAAGCCGCGAGCTGTACACGAAAGAAGAATTTAGGGTAAATAAATATGTACTTAGTTACTTTTGTGTGTTGTGATCTACTCAAATGCTTGATTTGGTCGCTTTGCTTTAAACAGATTGCTGCTGCTGTTTGGTGGTTTTATTTCTCTAAATTGCTGGAATTTGCCGATACGATTTTCTTCATTTTACGCAAAAAGCGGAAGCAGTTAACCTTTCTACACGTCTATCATCATGGCACTATGTTTCCATTGTGGTGGATCGCTATAAAGTGGGTGCCCACCGGATCGAGTAAGTATTAGATGTCGGATGGCCCCGCGCTACTTCATCACAACTGGATGATACCGGTCAATCTATCCTATCTTGATTGGCGTGCGAAAGACTACCTTAACTCGATGACCTTTCCTAAGTTTGTGCTAACTAAGCCCTATTTTTTGTAGGTGCGTCTTAGGAATAGGCGAATTAGCATAATTTATCTGACAAAGCTGATCTAGGATAGTTTGTCCGACATCGCCTTCGAAAAGCATAGATTGACCGCTATCGACCAGTTGAGTTGGCCATCTATGTATGTTTAAGTTGAAACATTAATCAGGTTCAGTTTAGTGATCTACTGATAAATTTACAAACTTGTCGAATGAAAGCGAATAGTCTCGATGGTTAGTTAAGATGTTTGATGAAACAAACCAGATGACACTACGACAGAGTAGTTCTTTTGTGTCTCTATAACTCTAAATATACTATATACCAAAATACTGTCAACTTCTCGAATGGAAACTCTCTGTCTTAGTAGACGATTTCCTCTTACTTAAGGGATCGACTGTAGATGACTTAAAAAAAGCAGAAGTCTTTTTCAGGCTAACACTAAATATTCCCCGCAGATGCGTTCCGTCTAGGTAAGGGCGCGGGCTATCGGGGTTCACGGCACCCAGGGTACTACTTTTAAAACGGCCGGGATGGAAGGTCTTTAAAAATTTTTCCGGGCGGGAAGAAAATTCTTTTCCTACACTTCCGATAAAACTCTCAACTTACAAAAATTCGAAAAATCCGCATTAAGAGGTAAAACCCCTCTTGAATTTTAGACAAATTTAATATTTTGGCTTTAGTATCATAAAAACAACATTCAGTGGGTTCTATTTACAGCAAAAAAATATGTTTTATCGACTTTCCTGCAGAACCTCTGATCGCCCGCGGATCTTTCAGTATGACAAAGGTAAAATATTCAGTTACTTTATTAAGTGATAGGTATCGGGCACCAAGGGGCGGTATAAATGTGAAAAACGTCGAGATGGTCGGGTTCGGGATCTAAAAATTTAATGTTGGGATAGGCGGGATCGAGTTTGAATAATTGGTCCCGCGCCCATTGCCAGGTCCGACTTCTCGCCGTCCTCAATCTTATGACCGATTAAATACCCTGCGAGCAACCTGCGAGTGTTCTGTTAAAAAGGTTGGTAGTAGAGACAAATCCTTCCCATCCAGAGTAATGTTGTCTGAGGTACGTTTGCTGCAGTACTAAAGCCACAAACTCCCGCAATCCCTCCAGAACTTTACGTATTTCCACGTGTTGTCAGTTCTGAGAGATCCGTGCCTTGATTTTGGGTCAGATACGCAAGAATCTAGAGACGTAATATTTTCACTAGCCAACTACATTGTTTTATTAAACTCGAGATACTGACCGTTTCTTAATTATTCTTTACAGCAATTATACCATCCGTAACGAATTCATTCATACATGTCATTATGTACAGCTACTATGGACTAAGCGCTTTGGGGCCTAGCGTTCAAAAATTTCTCTGGTGGAAGAAATACCTTACTGCATTGCAATTGGTAAGTGAAAAAAATAACAAATCTACAAGTGGGCCAATCCTTTCCAACGGGCCAATGGTTGGAATCGACCATTTTTGATTTGGATGAATTTTGATCAGAACCTTTCTTTTATCAGAATTTTGATCAGAACCTTTCTTTTATCAGATAACGAAAAAAATATTTTAAAAATTTCGAAAGTTCAAAATATTACAATTTCCGGGATTTCTCAACCTTAGTTTTTGAATATTTTAAAAGCTGTTATAGCTAGAAATATGGCTCTGCCTTTGGCTACTTGTTTAGATAATACCTTGATTTTTAAGATTACATTTTTGAGCTTTGAAAAAAATCGTTTGCAAACTATCAATTAAAAATTAATTTAAATAAAAATTCCTTAGCATAACTTTATTTATGGTCTGCATATTTCAAAAAAACACCTTCTTAAAAATTTCACGATCTTTTAAGACCAGTTGGTATTGTATGAAAAATTTAGCGAAAATGTTAATAAGCTTTTGCTTTTACTATTTTCTTATTTTCAAATTCTGTATTTTTTTTATTTTTCGAATATTTTTTCTTTGTATTCCCAAATATCACCTTTTCTACATATTAGAAAAGTAAATTTGCCAAATTCCTGCAAATTGTGAAGTTAAGAATTTTGCATAACATAAAAAAAAAATAATTTTTTCATTTGGCAGATATAAGGTAAAAGAAAATCAAACTTCGTACAAATCAAAAATTCCGACTACAACCTTTGATGGATTTGACATAGATTGACCCAAATATATATGTATAGATATGAACTTGTACATATGTGTGTCCAACGTAAAATGCCATACTTACTTACAAATATATGTATGTATAGTAAAGGATTTAGGATGTAGGAGAAGAAAGAATACTACACTAAAAAATTTTCAGCGTCTTTGGACGCTAAGAGAAGCTTGGTAGCTGAATTCTTAACACAAAGCTCGACAGGAGGTGCCTTAGCGGTATTTTTGTGGCTTCATGCATAAAAAGTTAATAGCTAAATTAAAATGTTCAATCAGGTGGCAACCCTCCACAAAAATATTTTCAGCTGTAAGCCTTCGTAAATCTCTTCTTTTTTTGACAGCCATATTGCAGTCAATTCTTTGAACTGCTATTTTCATACAGGTGGCAACTCTCTAATTTTGTTCGTCTATATTTTAAGTTAGACCTCTATCAATACATCGGTGAAAACTACATTTGATTCCATGCATTAGTTTTCGATAGATGCGCGTACAAACATACAAACAGACAGACTAAGGACCCCCTATCAATTTTCCTTTAATGTACAGACATCGGCCTGTTACAGTTTTATTATATGTTTAGATACCGATCTCTGTCTAGCCATTCCTTGGAATTAGTACCGTAAATCCAAACTTGTCTTATTTACAAGAAAGTATAACTCTTCTCTTAAGTGCGGACGTATGTCTTCCGGTTTTTGATTGAGTAAAGTACTTGGGTTTTATTATTCATAGGAAGTTGTCGTGGGGGTCGAACACTAAGGAAATAGCGAGGAGGCCGTTACAGACCCTTAGGGCAATAGGGCAATTGGAAAGAGACAGAGTCGCGCTTGTAAGGTTATTTTCTGGCTCTATGAAACCGTAGTTAAATCCATTATATTTTAGGAAATCCGTATCTGTCCCAACGCGCTTGAGACCACTTCTTTACTCAAAAAGCTGAAGTGGATAAACGTTTTGGCTCCCAATTATAGGGGTTATTTTAGTTTAAACGCGTTACTACCCTAGCCTCTTTTCTCTTGGCCTACCCTGCTTCTGCGAAGCTGCGAAACTTCGTTAAGTTTTTAATTATGCACCTACTATAACTTTCTATGTGTTAAAATTTGTTCAGTATTTTTGGAAATTCTTAATTCCAACTAACGTTTTCAATTAATTTCAGATACAATTTGTGTTCGGTGCCTGTTGGTCTGCTCAAGCTATTATAAGAGGCTGCGATTTTCCCACTTGGATCAATGTTACGACCATCGTTTATATGGCATCTTTGCTATTCCTCTTCGGACAATTTTATGTGAAAACATATCAAACAAACAAAATTAAAGATAAATAATTAAATTTCTAAGTCACCGCTTGTTCTCAATTACTTTACTTTCATCACCATTTATTTTACTGTTAACACACATACATACATACATAGAATAGAAAATCCTCGACAACGTCAAGTTCGTGCGTACATATGTGTTTTGTTGCCAGAAAAGCGTTCCAGCAAAATATACGTTGGCCAGGAGTAAAAAAGCTTCTTCAGCACTACCTATAAAGCTTCAAGTGACACCATTGGAGGCGTTGAAAAGTAAATGGTGATGACGTTGGCGCAAATGAAATTGCCGCAATGATTGCAGCTTAACAAAAATCTAATTAGCTGCGTTTTGACCTTCGTACGGCACAAGCGAACGTACTAACGAAGATATGTCTGTACTTACATATCTACATTAGGGTGCTTCACCAAAAAAACACGCCGGTTTTTTTGCCGGTATTTATAAAATTTATTATTTTTAAGACTTCCGCCAAAATATTTCGGAAAAATATTAAGATTTACCTGAGCTAGGCCGATCTAAAAATACTTACAAAAATCTCATTATTTTAATTCCGTTGATAAAATTTCTAAACATGTTTATGTAGGCATTCTAAGCTTAAACTCTTCTATCATCTAAGTTGATTTTTTGGAAAAAAATATCTTTTAAAACAATTTTTTTCTATAAAAACAAACTCATTTTATGGAGGTATTTTTAAATCGGTTCAGTTCACGTTAATCTAAGTATTTTTCTGAATCATTTTGGCGCAAGTCTCAAAATATGTATGATGGAAAACCTGCAGCGATTTTTTTTTTTTGGGGCATGGAGAGTGATACACCCTAATGTTCATATGACATATATGGATATTCGCGTGCGTCCGCAGTTTAAGTTAACTAAAGATAAAAAAACATATTTCTATATATTTGTGCCTTCGGTAGAGCTCTCTTTGCGGCAAACACATTAGCAGCCAAAGTGAAGATTTATAAGAAAATCAAATCAGCACAAATCAGCAAAAAATTGTACGCCAAGCTCGACGAAAATATTTAAGGTGCTGTTGTACGGGTAACATTCGGAAGTGAGGTGGAAAGAAGTTGTCTCGCCACAAACAGCTACACTCACATATGAGGACGATCTTTTAATTTTCTGAAGAAACATTTTATTTTGATAATTCTACAGAGATGTGTACATATGTACATACATACATACAGGCCCGACGAGAAGAGGGGTCGGAGGTATTTACTTCCGGGCTTGGATTTTTCAGAGGCCCAAATTTTTCGAAATTTAAATTCAAAGAAAAAAATAGTTTGCCAAGTTGATAAATTTGATTAAAGCAATTAATTTAAAAATTGTTTGGAGGGTTGAGGAGCCCGGGCTCAAATTTATTACCGCTGCAGTCCTCGTATCCTAATATTAAGCGATGGCAATGTCAAGTGTGAACCCATAATTCCCATGAAATAAAGTCTCCATTGATTTTCGAGTGCGTAGAGACCAAACGCTTTGTCAGCAAACAGCAGGGTCTTCCTTCTCTGGATCCCGAGCCATAAAAGCATAGGAGGAAATGAGGAGGCTACCTTTCAACGCAACAGCAACAACAGCAATAGGCCAGGAGCCCTTTTTTTGCAATAGGACAGCATGACCTCATTCGTCGAGGTGGTTAAAAGAGTCGTTTTTATTTTGGTGGTGGAGAAAGTAAAACTTCCGTGCGGTAAAGAAGCAAGAAATATCGGAGGAACACCCGTTTACGCAAATATCGAGCAGTCGTCAGTATATAAGATAACTGGAACCCTCTCCCTCTCTCTGTCGAATGCAAAGTTTTATGGAAAAATCACATTGAGTACGCCATCACAAAAGTCACACGGACTTTAATGGTGTGCAGAAGACTGGTCGCCTAATCATGACAGTCTAGTCCCTATATCTTGCGGTAGATGTACCATAGTCAAGCCAATAGCGACTGGCGTGTACCTGCATAACGGGAGCCATGCGCACTTGTCCCACATAAAACACACTGCCTAGAAAGCCCTCCTCAACTTTATGAGGGAGGGCACTGGTAAAGGAACGGTGATTTCGAGCAGAATGGGAGAGGAAACCAGATCAAAGATCCCCTGCTATGATTTTATGACTTCAATAGAGATGACATGGTTACGATGGCAACCTTTGAGACAAAATTCAGAACCGAACCAGGCAACAAAGCGACCTGGAATGAAACAATTTTAGACATACACCTTCAGGGTCCACACCCAAAGGTGGTTTACAGATGACTCGAAAAGTGACGAAGGGATAGATGCAGGAGTGTTCGGCCCTAAGCCCAAAATCTCTATTCCCCTGGGGAACTACCGTAGTATGTTTTTCAAGCGAAAGTTTGCGCTATCAATGCTTGCGCCGAAATAATTCTGCCTGGTTGCATTAAAAGCCATATCCTCATAGATTAAATCATGGGTAGTATGAGAATGAGGCTGAACACTCTGGAGGAAAACAACACACTGCAACTACAGTGTGTCCCGGGCCACAAAGACATGCAGAGGAAGGAGGAGGCTGACAGGCTAGCCAATTGGCCAATAGGACCAAAACACCTCCTTGCATTGGCGCCTCACATCATCAGGGAAGAGAAGTCTGCTAAGAAGAGCATATTGGGGGAATACGCCTAGACTAAGGTAGGCGAAAGAACTTTTTGGAAGCTGTAACACCAAAAGATCTAGGGAGCTAATCACCCGTCAGAAGACTAACCGGAGATTTATAACAGGGATGCTAACAGATCAGTACAGACTGCGAGCCCATGTGCATACCCTGGGGGGGTTAATGCAGACCACTTGTGTCGGTACTGCGATATGACAACGGAAACCCCACTACCACACCTGTGAAGGGCGTGGCCAGAAGTTATGCATACTCATTTTCTACCGCCTCGAAACTGCTAGGATCCATCAGAGCACTAGCGCTGAACGATGTGTTATGATGAGCTCTGAGGGCACAATAGACCTTCGGTCACAGTGCACAACCTCTAACGGATCTAATCTAATCACCCTCTCTCTCTCTCTTTCTCTCTCCCTCTCTCTTCTTCTCTCTCTTCCTCTCTCTCTCCCTCTCTCTTCCTCTCTCTCCCTCTCTCTCTCTCTTCCTCTCTCTCCCTCTCTCTCTCTCTCTTCCTCTCTCTCTCTTCCTCTCTCTCTCTTCCTCCCTCTCTTTCAGTGGAGACTGAGGAATCTTCGAAATGCAGAAGTTAAACCGTAGTGGGGAGAGGGCACCATCTTGTGGGAACCCTTGTTTAATTCTTTTTAACTTCGGGATTTAGGGTTTTTATGGGAGGAAGGATGTCTAAATGGCTCTAAGAAAGGTAGACCCTCAAGTGTTTTAGCATCAACATGCATTGTCCCTCGAGGCCAATGACCTTGGCAGGCCTTTGTCTTCACGACGGCTCACAACTCAACTTCATCGCTGGTGAAATTATGAAGCGCACTATGTTTTCGGAGGTTGTGCAGCTTTCTGGTCACTCGAAATCCATCTTTATCAACCGGAACTGGATGAATGGTGTTTGGGTATGTAGTTTACTTTTTTTTTGACAACGTTTTGTACCTTTTTCCATATAAACATGGAATTTCTTGTTTAAGAAAATGCGAAAAAAAATTTTAAAAATCAACTTTTATCAATCAATCAATCAATTTTTTTAAATTGCACTTGTTAAATGAAAAAAAACGCAAAAGCCGTCAGCAAAAGAAATATTATTTGCATAGCCGAAAATGTTCTAAAAATTCAGAAACAAAGTTCAACATATTGATGAAAATTTGTTGAATATTTCTAAATTCTGCATAAAGTTTGTTTTTATATTTTTTCAGTTACCATATTTTTTATAAAAAAAAAAATAAAAATAAAATAAAAAGGTAAACATTTTAGTTATAATAAAACACGATTCCTCCAGTGTTGAGCGCTAGTGTAGATAAAAAGATAACATGATTTAATAATTAAGTATTACCGAACATAATCAACCAAGGAGGATTACATTTCACCAGATAAATAAATTCCATCGTTATTCTATTTGGTTTTTTTTCACACAGTACCATAAATTAAAACTTAATTTTTTTGGAAGCAAATTACATGTGGAAACAGACAGAAAGGACCTCCATCAATATACTATGTGTGTATGTATTTGTATGTACATATGTATACAGTAGTATATAATTAGAATTTGAAATTCCAGCAAACCTTTGTTAATTAGTTGCCAAACTGTAAAAAAAAAATGTTTGATGAGAAGAGCACCGCAGCACGAGGCCCGTTTATTTGTATGCCAAAGCAAGGACGACAGACGCGCCCGCTGCCATCTTCCAACTAAACATTAACGTTGATTCCGTTGGTGATTTTTATATTTTTCTCGCTATTGGTTGCTGTTTATTGGTTGTGGCTGTGGCTGTGGTGAGCGCTGCATTTGAGTCACGTACTTAATTCGATTTGTGGCACGAATCGGTAATGCTTGAATAACTTATTAAGCCGCATCGTTTGAACACAATGAACTGGGCAAATGTAGTGGGTGTCGGTGTGCAGGCGGTTCGGGTGTATGCGAGTGTGAATGTAACGCCAATTTAAATATTAGGCAAATTATATTGCAAGTAGATGGAGTATTTGGCTGTGTGCGCCGGAAAACGATGTGACATTAACAAGAGTTGTATGGGTATGTGTGTATGTAGGTGAAAAATAGCTAATTTTCTATTTACATTTTTAATAACAATTAGTTTTGAAGAAATTAATCAATTGATTTTTCTTAAAATTTCTGACCTTTTACTTGATTTCTTTAAATAAATTTAAGTATCTCAAAGGTTTGAGATTTTAAGAAAAACAAATTGCTAAGTTTTTATTCATAGGCTCAATATCTCAGTGTTTTTAAAGGAGGTCCTAAAATAGGCAATTCGCAAAACAGCCAAAAGCAATGGAACATCCAGAATACCAGCATACTTTTTTCTCACATCGGTCATCCTTTATATGTATATTCAGTCCAGAGGCATGCGCAGTAGAAAATAAAATAGTGTACTGGATAAATTGTTTAGTTTAATATACATGTGAATAAAAAAATCTTAAAGGTAGCTATATTCACTTATGACAAAATAAAAGCAAATGAAAATTATACTTTTAGAACAAGGCTATCATTAAACATATCGCGGCATCAACTATGTACATAAAACGGTTTTTTCTTTGTAATGGTACCTGAGAAACGCTTTGTCCTATATTTGAAATTACTGTTTTTTATTATTTTTATTTGCTTTTATTTTATTAACCGACTTAAAAAGGGAGGTTTTCAAATTGTCGGAATATTTTTTTTATGTATGCTACCGCATAACTTCGGACCATGTGAACCGATTTCGATTATTCTTCTAATCGGAAAGGTGGTCCCATACCAATTTGGTTTAGATCCGATCATTAAATCTTGAAGAAATTGATGATACTCCTAAATTTTGTAATTGTTGCCGGATAACTTTGGACCATGTGAACAATTTTCGATAATTCTTTCTTTTTTTTATCGGAAAGGTGGTACCTCAAGGTACCATGGTCCCATACTAATTTGGTTTAGTCCAAACATTGGATCAAGAAGAAATTAATGGTACTCCTCCATATTTATACGAGCATCGAAGTCCGTTGCGGTTTTTGCTTAAAAAATGTATTGTTTCCAACTGAATCATTTTAATAACGACGAAATTGTTTCTTAAATTTATCATAATGGTAGTCATCTGTTGCGCGTTTGACGCCGTTCACCGCACCAGCTTGCTGATAGGAATGTTGTTGCTGTTGTGGGGCATTTTGGGCAACATAATCGCGCTTGCGACGTTTTTGGTCGCTATCTTCAATGTTAACTAAAAAAAAAAAACAAAACAAAAAACAATACAAAATAATTATATAACCCAAACATATGTATGTAAATAAATTGTAATGAAATTCAACGACGTGCTGATATGTGATCCCCAACTTACATCGATTATGTTGCATGAAATTCACTGCCATGTTTGTTGGCACAAACTGTGATGGGCCATCTTTCTTGTTCTTTTGATCTTGCAGCAGCTTTTGTTTGGCATCCTCAGTCGCTTCGATATTTTTTATTTTCGCGTCAATACCTAAATCCACTTCAGGTATACCATTTAACATTTGATTGGATAACATTTCTTCCGAACGGTTTGATGA